CAACACAAATTTCGAAGTCCATCCGTAAAACTCCCTCCATTTCTCCCCACGAGCAACAACAATGGCGGCGAAGGATCTCAAGGTCGACGAACTTCGGGCTGAGCTCACAAAGCGCGGCCTCAGTGCCGCCGGAATTAAGCCTATTCTGGTCGGCGACTTTTCATTTATTTTTTTTTTCAGAAATTACTCATTTGACATATTTTTTTCTAAACGCTTTTCTTGTTGTTAATAGGTTCGGAGGCTTGAAGCCGCTCTTCAAGACGAGAAACAGAAATTGGTGGATTCGAGCTCCAGCCGCAAGAGGCGGAGGGATTCCGAAATCACGGATGCTGATACGGAGGCGCCTAGGAAAAAGAAGTCCATTGACGAGCTGCGAGGGATGAATTTGAAGCAGCTTCGTGAAGAGGCTTCGAGTAGAGGAGTTTCTGCTGCTGGAAGTAAGAAGGAGCTTCTGGAGAGGCTCTGTGCTGGAGGTGCCAACGATTTAAGCAACAATGGCGAAGGTAACTAACTTTGTCTCTCGCTCTAACCTTCGGTGTATGTGGTCAGGAAACTAAAATGAGTGTTGTCCAATTATGTTTCTCGATCTTAAGTATACTCAAACAACCATTCCTTCAACTTCCTTTCACATAAATCTAGTACAAGGGAAAGGTGTGAAAGAAGCTGTCACACAGGTCACTTAATTTCATGCACCTCGTGTACGTCATTGTTGGAGAAAAAAAGGTTAGATGATGGGTCTCTCTAGAGGCAATCACAGAGCTTTAGGATTATTGAAAAAGAATACCATGATTTAGATCATACAAACTAACAAAACAGAGAAATAACATTATCCTACCTGGAAAAAATCACCTTTTGCTAAAAGGAAATAATCTTTAAGAGCTTTCAAGTGACCATTCAAGTCGGCACGCACAACAACAAGCTGCAGATATGACCAAAATATCCCGATTAGACTATACAACAATAAAGGAACATACACATTAAATATGTGCGATGAGCACCTGCCAAAGATGATTCGCTGCAATCGCCTTGATTGAGTCAACCGCCATCTCAAATGAGCGCTTATGGAACTCGGATGCTTCCTGCATTTAATAAATCAAGTATCAAACAGTTAATTGGGGGAAAAAAAAAGAAAAAAAGAGAAGCAATTGGGTACTAGGAGAAATTACAAGATGTCATGAACTTCAAAGCATAGGAGCATGAAGCAATCAGAGAGAGCAGTTGACAAATCTAAAATTCTTATGGCATTAAAATTGCCACCATTGCGATCAATAGCTTGAATAGTAGTTGTGCTGTTTAGAGAATATTATACCT